ACAACTGCTCTTTGTTCATGATTTGAGTAGGCTTGTAAAAAGATACACAGTCGAAGAAGGTATTTCAAAAAGGATATTTTTGATGGAGTTTGGAGTGCTGATTCCAAGTCTGTCTTCCATATCACATCATTATAATATCTGTGAACCGTTTTTTTGGAAGATTTTATGAAGTTTCTCTGTGCTAGAACTAGCTCGCACGTCAATGATTGCTTTAGGACACCAATATTCAGCTTTTGCGCTGCTCTTTTGAGTCAAGGTTGAAATCGTAACACTGTTTTTTATTGGGTACCTCTTTCCAAGCTTCAACACTTCCGAGTTTAGGTGCAAAAATTTGCTGGTGTGCACGACTTCCGTTTCTCTGTTGGAACTTTAGCTGCATTTCGAAAGACTATGGATGTGCAAGTTTTGCATCGCTGTCTGGCGTACCGGAAATTCCTCAGCTCACACGGAGTGGTGACTCCTTCATAGCCACACGCATGCCATGTCCTTTAGCACAGTTATTCTTTTTAGACTATTCCGTCGTTCCCAAGGAAACATAACCATTCTTCAAATGGTTCCAGTATCGAGAATTATGTTCACGGAACGTCTGCTTCAGTGGATTCTGTTACTTTGTCGTTTAGGTACATTCTTGCATTTTGCTTTTACATTTCCATCATGGAACCTTATAGTCTAAACACCGTCGCGTGATGTGTTGAATTTCGAAATGTGAGAGCTTCCGAAGAATAGAAGTGAGTTAAGAGGGTTTAGATGCGAAGAGTCCACTGTGAATATATGATTAGAAATGCTGGTGTTCTTGTTATCCATTGGATTAAAATTCCAGGATGGTCTTTCATAACTTTCTCGAAGGTGAACGCTTAGCAAAAGTCCAGGTGTACACTGTACAGCAACAAGGTGACGTGTTTGGAAAAGTCGTGAGTATATCTTTCGTTTGCTTTAATTTTGCTAAATTTTGATTATGCCTAGTTAGGAACGTCTTCCTTCTGCTACGTTCACTGTGTCTGTAAATGCTCCCATGCAGCCTGTCTCTATAGATGTTCCAACGATATCAAGTGACCAAAATCTCCGCGTCTTTGTCATTGTACGCGTCGACGTAACGAACAATCTGAAGGGTATCCGCGTGGATGGTACGTTTCGGATCAGGCTTTACGATTACTTGTAACTCTTTAATTGAGTGCCATTTAGTGAATAGCTAGATGTGAACCTACTTTGTCTCAACTGTCGCGTTCCTCGTTAAATTTATATGCATTTTAACAACTGACCTGTAGCAAAATTTTTCTGAAACTGTTTTGAAACAACTATGGAACGGTTTCTAGTTTGCTCACAAAAGAGCATGTGTTATGCCAAAGTTTACGACGTTATGTGGATTTTGAGACATATTATCACATCCTATGATATAATCTTCAAGGTCACGCCCTTCGGAATCTGCCCACTCGCATGCGAACTGATTGCGTTAATCGTGATCACAAAGTGACATTTGAGGTATCATTGTTCTCATTGCTTTCTCATCTTGCTGATCTGATATGCGTGTCAAATTTGATCTATTCAGCATACCCTTTTTGGTGCGAGGTGCCTTTATAGAATGGATGGTGCGTTGAGCAAAGGTGGCTTTATCGTTGGCGAGAACAATGTAACGCTGATGTATGGCACAATACTCCATCATAATTGCTTCTTCGTTTTCATTTCTTTTTGCAGAGAACAGGATAAGCTTAGCACCGATATCTCTTCGCCAGCGATTGTATCCGAACTGGAACATTGGTCAAAGGTACTGAGCTGAAATGATTTTGAAGCAATATGTTTAAGAAGGAATAAATTATAATTTTTACTTGACACTCTCAGGTAACCAATGCATGATCGTGGTGATTTATTGTAACCAATAATGTTGAACAGTCAACTTTTTATTTTCACATCAATTTAGCGCCTTCATACCAATCCTTTCTTACAAATGCGAGTTGCATGTGGTCCAACTTATGACGATGACTCTGACTGTTGTTCGTCAAATCGAAGGTATGCGCACTAGCATGGCC